TGGGTTTTAGCCGTGCGTGATCGTTCTGCCGTTGCAATTTGTCTGTGGTAGATAGCTGACGAGTCAATAGGCCCTTTGCTTTGTCGCAACAAGCTCCACGCGCGCAAAAAAAAAACTGACGGCTGGCGGGCGGCTAGTAGATAGCGTGATGTGTGTAGATGAAAACTGACCAGTATTTATTATTGAAATGCCAGACCTTATCGAGGTCCTCCCCGAACCTGAAATGGCAAAACATTCTCGCCGTGTTTATTCAGCTTCGCTGTTTATGAAAATTGGCGTTCGCACAAAAAATGTATTTATATTTGCACAAGCAGTGCGGTGTTGCCTTAATGAGGGGGCGAGGCGTTAATGCGCATGCGCGGGTGCTGCTGCGGGACACTAGGGTCGGGCTCCTCGTTCTGTGCTTTCATGAATGCTCTCGGGCTAGGCTCGGCCGGGGTATTTTTGGACGTATTTGTACGCGTCCGACTTTATTGGAAACAAATGGTTTTGTCCGTGCGCTCAGTTTGCCGTGTGAGTGAACTTGTTTTTTCCGCTGGCTGTTCACACCTAACGTTCTTTCATATGGTGATTCTTTTGAGTCGCAGGGATGCTAGTCGTTGGAGGGGTGGGGGGATTATTGAGATGTAGAAGGGGTGGCGAAGGAAGGAGCACAAGGGTGTGTCTACAGTGAGCTGTGTGGCGGACCATGTGCAGTGAGTGTAAATAGGTTTGGGTCAAAATAATAAGAAATAGTATAGAGCCGGGGTTGACATTGAGTGTAAATGATGTAGATGCATTGCTCAGATACACAGTGAGTCAAAATGTGGCGGATGTATCGGAGGTCCACATTAAGAAGTGTGAGGAATAGTTAAGGCGTGTTGAAAGGTTTTAGGCATTGCGAGGGAAATGTGGAGGGTTGGGGTTAAATTTTAAGCAGTGAGAGGTGAAAATGTAGTTAATTCAAGTAGTGTGATGCCGTGTAGAGGTGTGGGGTCACATTAAGTAGTAGGATAAATTACGAAATTACGTAAGAAATTACGGGGGTGTGGGAACAGAGAAAGCGTGTTAATTAAGAGGTGTGCAGGCACATTATAATTAAGGCGTGTGGCACCGTGTCCACGCTGTGAAGTGCAGGGAGATACAGGTGTATATACTATAAGAGTCGTGCGGATTAGGGTTTCAGTGGTCTCGCTCGAGTAGCAGAGCGAGTGTGTGTCTTTCGTGCTAATGTTTGGGTTTCCTGCGTGCGTCGCGGCGCACGTACGTCGGCACTGGTCGGCTTACGGCGGATTGTGTTGGCCTTTCTGGGCGGCAGAGACCTGGCGTTTGAATGGCGCGCCGTCGTCACGTAATTGCCTCGAAAATTACTTAAACGTTAACGGCCTCTCGGCCGCTGATACTCGGCCCAACTTATTTGCGTTGGATTTCGGTAAACACGGTCGTGTTTGTCTGCCGATTACGCGAAGTGCCCGTGCTCACGAGGCAAAATATCGCACTGCGAACGTCTCATGCCGGGTCGCCTTACGGTGGCCGGCGATGCGCGGTTCCTTTTCATGTCGCTGCTCGTCGGAGGAATTCTGCTACAAGGCCAGAGCTTCTTTCGCCGGTGGCTTATTTTAAACGGCTCAGAGGCACCACAGCGATTTCATGCCGAATGTTGAAGTTTTCGAGCGCTTCTCGTGCAGTGCGAGCCGCGCCTGCGAAGTGGTCGGTCTACGCGTGTAACCCGAGCTTATGCCCTCTAGAGGGCGCCTCGTCACTCCGATATAATTTGTACTACGACCACGAGTGGTGGTCGCGCAAATCGGATTCTTGCGTTATTTTCGCTGTGTCAGACAATTACGTGTCTCCTTGTCGCTATTCTATGGACAAGCCTGCGGATGACGTGCACGTCGTTTGACAAAAATATTAGATTTGATATTTTGTCTCGTGCTTCGGGTGTTTGGGAGTTAGTAGGAAACTTGTTCGTGGTTGTTATAGACGCGAGAAATGTAGAAGAAGCAGGCAGATGCTGGTTAGCATGCTCATTGAGGTATGAAGATGCCCCTATTCGGAGGTGTTCGAGCGTGACAAAGTAGAAAACTAGTTTCTATTCATGAAGTGTCAATTGCTATTCATTGCCGTCGCTGCTGAAGTTGGAGCAACGCTATTCCATACACGTAGCCTACCTAAGACTGCTTGTTGTTATCCACAAAGATCATGCTAGTGTCTGCAGCATATACTAATAATTCTTCTGAAACTTGGCCGAAATGTCCTTGGCTGTTGAACAGCGTTTAAGGGACAGCACTGTCCAAACTCGGACACTGTTATTGTGTCTGGCCGATAGCGTATAGTTGTGGGAAAATTTGAATGAGCCAGCATTTTAATGAATGCTACTATTTGCTTAATGGGAAAAATAAACTTTGCAGAATTTGGAGTGACTTTCTCTGGGTTACCCATCCCACATTTGCAAGCGTTGCTAGGTGAACATGCACAGTGTCCAATAATGTAGAGGTAATAAGGCCATATACCTGTCAAGCGGCGATTACCGTGAGAGGAGTTAGCAGAATGATTAGCTGTCGTGATTGTCAAAAATGTGTGGCCATATTCGTGATTATAAAGCAAACATGATCGAATATATTATACCCTAGGTCGAATGCTTACTACTTAGTCATGATTTTATGAATGGCAATCATGTGTGCGCTTTCCTAGCGCAATCTTTAGATTGAAAACGTTTTCAGTCATGTATCAGTGATATTTTCAATGGTGCCATTGTCTGGGCACTTATACGTAGCCGTCCAACGTGTCTCATGGGGAATCATTTAGTCTGTCGAGGTCTACTCACTGTATGCAGCATTAATACGTTGTAGTAAAAAAAACGTATTAAGCGTACCGGAAAAGTGCAGTTTTGTTGTGCGATTGTGTATGAATTAGTGGCTAGTATTCTGAAAGGTCAGCGCGCATATTATGCACATATATATTAGTGGCCAGGGAGTGGGGGGGAGGTAGGTGAGAAGCCTTCACTTGCAGTGATGTCCGTCCACTTGTAAAAGCTGCTGTTAATTGGCATCTCGCTTTGATCTCATTTCCGCACCCATCGCTTCCTTTGTTGTGTTGCTCCTTCTCATTTCAGCCTTGCTCCCACCACATCTCTCTGTCTCTCCCTCTCTCCCTTGCACACGTACAGACTCGCACGAACACGTATTTAGACAGTCAGCTGCTAGTTATTGATGTTATAGTGTATACCTGTCTCTTTGTCGGCAGAAATTAGTCGTACCTTTTTCACACAGCAAAGCGTATTGTGGCAGACATGTAGAGATTACCTGATATTGTTAGTAGCTAATGATATGATGGTCGTATTTCTCAGTGCTTGGTTTCATACAACGTTCCCTCCACGTTTCACTCGTAGAAAAAAAGTACCCGTCTACTGATATTGACGTCACTGGTTTTATTTATTCCTTGTACAACTATAGTGAACATATTAGTAGCACAGTGATAACGATAGGATAAAGACGATGTACGCCACAAAGAGGAATGGGTTTTACCATGGGGGCCCAGCGCTAGGGCTTACTTTAAAATGTAGGGATAGTTGCCCAGTAAAGCAGGGTAGTGGTAGCGGTGTAAGCTTTCTATATAATGGGAACAGCTATAAACAGGAAGTTGGCATATCTGGGGCTAATGCAGACCACATGTGTGTGCCCACCCTCTGCTTGCATAGCTCACAGCTCGGTCTCCCTTTATCTCTCCCTCTTGCCTTTCGCTGCTTCACTCTTCTCTGTTCCTTGCCCCCCCCCCATATGTTCTCCCCATCTCTTGCTTTCTCCGTGTCTATCCCTGCCTGCCGTTCTCGCTCCTCATGTTTTATAACCCTTGCTTGTGGCCCTGGTAATACCAGTCTCATTCGATTTGTATATACGTATTTATTTAGATTTTTTGGAAGATGGAATCAGCCAAAGTAAAAACTGACATCCTGATGGAGCTATTTTCGCTAATTTGCTGTATACAGAATGTTTTAAGAGGTCTTTAGTAAGAGGGTTCTCGGTCGCTTTTCCTTTATAGCCTGCGCATGACGTGTCTTGCACGTACACCGTCAGGGTGTGTGCAAATTAAATCTCTGGTAGTGATGCAAGATGCCTACAGTAGGTGCTCGTTGTTAATTATGCTTGGTGCAAATGATGGATGCGAAGTATTCAAGTGCTTGCTGTCCGAGTGAATGAGGGTGCCATGTATACGCTGCGCTTCTTGCCATTATGAGCGTTACCACCGTAAAAGCAGATTACTTGTAACGTTATAGTGAACGATTTGTGCTCTACAAAACGGCGCAAAGCTAGTTGGGCTATATTTGGATTGACTGCCTTAGTACGAAGATGCATAATGCAGCCATACCACAAATTATTGATTTTATTATGACGTGGATTACAGAGATTTGCAGTAATAAGCCAATAATAGTAGCATGTATTAATTTGGCTAATCACATGTGATACTGTTGGCCAAAATCCATTTATCACCACTGGAGAGTATAATTTGAAAGATTATTAGGCTCTTGCCATAGAAACAAATGTTAGCAGTGTTGGTTACATTACTTGATATATAGTTATTGTTGTCTTATTAGTTGTTATGCGCAAAATAACCTCCTTAATTATAGTACTTTTTCGTCTTCATGCCAGATATTAATGAGATTTATAATGTCCCAAATGATCATATGGAGTTGTTTCCGGATCAACTCATATATTATCAGATGTCGGAATTTATCCTACTTTAAAAAAGCATTATCATAACAACAGTGATAGTGTTAAACTGTTATGAGGTTGATTAGTAAAAACGTGTTTATGATAGATTCAATATATGCATCAAGAGTGCATAATAGAGATGCATTATGATTTGATTTCTCTATTATGCACTCTTGATATGCATATATGTACTAGACATAATTTTTCTCGTTATCAGTAAAATGTGATGTGCACTATGTGACATGAATGTACGTGATGAATAAATGTATGAGATTGCCATCTAAAAAGTGTATTGTTTTACTATTGCAGGTGTACAATGGGTCAGAGGAATTTGGGCAGGACTCCCCAAGATATACCTCTCCGAAACCTGGCCTCTATCATGGTGAACCAGCATATTTCATGGGTAAGTGCATAGTTTAATATGTAAAAAATATAAATTCCACAACAATTGGCAACACTTGAATTACTTAATTTATTATATCACTGGCAATTGTTTCAGCGCTAGTATCTGCTTATATATGTATATTATAAATGATGTTGTGTATTGACATAAATGCATTATTTTGAAGAGTTCATGAGCAAATCTTGGCTTGTATTCGTTTGTGTATAAAATCAAGGTTCAATAAATCAAAGTTCTATCACATTTATATGAGAAGTATGTATGTCAAAAATATTTTTATGCATAAAACGTTGGTACTAACAGCACCTAATTATATATTTAAACACTTAACAAATAATAATATGCTTAAATTCTCAAGTGTTGTCATGTTGAAATTCTCCAAATTCCGAACGATTTGTGTTTTTGATCCGCACTAAAACTGTGCAGTGTAGAGAAAAATGGTGTTGCAAGTTTGGGTACATCAAACGAAAATGACAAAATATAGGTATAATGCATCAGTTTAATAAGAAAAAATCTTATACTTTGTCAAAAAAACCTAGATTGCAAAAAGGCAAGATATTCACTATAATTTCTTAGGGTTTCTTTGATTGGCTGCTCAGTGCTGTTGTTTGCATGATTGTATTAGTTTGTTATAAACATTCTGCCATATCAGCATTAATATGATGTTGAATTACAGATGGAGCGCACAATTCACCTGACCCTTGGTCAGGACCGCCTGGTCATCCGAACGGCTTGCCGTCGTCCAGCTATGGCCCAGCCATGATAGGCAGTGTAGGGCCCCACTTCACTCAGCCCACGTCCACATACGCCAACATGCATCCGCCCCCTGCACATCACGACTCTGTGGTAAGCCGCACACACAATCTCACGTTAATGACGGTGCACTCTCGTAGCACTATTCTGGTTCTTGCATTCATTAGGGATTTTAGTAGCCAGAGTTCAATTGAAATGAATATTTTCAATTGTCATTGGGGTCGTGATTAGCTCTCATTGCATTGGGTTTATTTACGATGAGGTCGTTGCACTGTACTATACGAATTTTTACAAAATAACCTTGGCGTGGAAATGAAATCATTCTCTCATACCCCCTCTTTTTGTATCTACAGGGCTACAATCCAGAACAGTTGCTGTCCAGTGGTCTTCCACCAATGTCAACGTTCCGTGGGGGCCAGCCTGTTCCAGCGGGTGCACCGTATAGTACATCTCCCTCCAACCTTGCCAGCTCTGAAGGAGCCAGCCGAGGCAACAGCTCACAGCAAACGGGCGACGCAGTGCGCAATGCGCTCGCATCCGTAAGTGTCGCCTAGTCTACGCATTCGTCATCGCACGCGTGGCAATTGTATCTCAGTTATTTATAATAAATATTTATGGTCATTCAGTTGGTCTTCTATAGGTTTTTAGTCACTGGCTCCCTCTAGTGAGTGACATGAGACTATATTTGGATATAATGTCAAATGCGTATCTAAGGCCAGACTTTACATTATGTTACTATGTAGTATGTACGTCTTTAAAACGTGACTTACAAGTACTAAAAATGCGTGATGTATGTTGCAGTTCTTTGCGCGTTTCAAGACAATGTTAGTAGCTCCATTAAAGCTATCTGATGTAAATTTAATCTAATGTTTTAAATCGGGTAGAAGTATTGTAGGAGGTATCGCCACCTGGTGGTAATAATGTGACTAAAACTATATGGAAATGTGCTGAACGTTAATTGAGGCTTTCTTTTTAACTGAAGGCGTTACAGGTAATGTCATGATAACGATAAAAATAAGACTGAATGGTAGAAAGGTTGGATATTCTAAGTTTTACTACAGCTTGAAAGTGAAGAGACTTATTATTCATAGTTCGATGAGATTTAAAGAGTAGGATGCTCTCATATCTATCCCTTCATATGAGTGCTTATACATAAATTAATCAAGCTTTAAAAAATTATGATAATGCTCAGCATGATATCAATTGCACTCAAGTGATTTTATCGGGTTACGTTTACTGGGCAGTAAAGCATATTTCTGAGGCCCACATATAAGATTAGGCATTGATTTAGAGGCCAATTAATTATTCACACATTCACTACATGTTGCCACGCAGTTATAGCATCATAGCAACGTGTTTCCTGGGCAACAGGTTCGACGTCTGACCAGTTTAAGTCTGTGCATTGTAGCGGAACTGCCTGTAATAGCTGTGCATATTGCAAAGATCCCAGTGAGTTATTACAGTTTTGTTTCAGCCTTGCAGGTTATTTACTGTCATTGCTATTTAGGATTGCTCTTGCTGGGCCTTAATTACGAATGAAATATTCGCGTTGTTGTTGTATTTTTACAGCCATTACGAGCCATGATATCGTACCACTTAGCAGTTTATATGCCATTCAATAACCGCTAACTGTCAAATGAAATGAAATAATAATTGGCTCATTGTTTGTTTACAGATTTATTCAACTGACCATACGACCAGCAACTTCCCATCAAATCCTTCCACACCGGTCAGTAGTCCACCACCAATGTCAGGTAAGTTGTTTACAGTGTTTTTATTTTTGTTCGTATTCAGATGTCATGTTTTAACGTCTACACGTTGTTGACACACAACTTGGCATATTAGCTATATTTCATAATTAGGGGAAATTACATTTTATTTAAGTTATTATGGTTGTTGTATAGATAGGACTAAATTCTGAGAATATATTTTAAATTGTAGGGAGATGTGTATTTACATGTTTATTCCATGCTTGTTATCTAAACATCCACGTTTGTGTAACTATAAAACGTATTAACTATATGTAGGCATATGTATTATAGCTATATGGATTATAGATTCATTATGGTGGTGTATCTATGCAGCACAGATATGTTTCGATGTTGTGAAATTTTAATAAATATTATTCTCATATGTTGTGCTTTTGTTGTCCATGAACCAGGTTCAAGTTGGCCAACGCGACCACCAGCACCCACATCTCCACATTATGGCGAAAGTCATCTGCATTCACTTGTGAGTTAGTGCTGAATTCAGCATCTTTTCCTATTTACTATCACCATTTGCATGAGCAGTTAAGTGCATACCTCGAGTGTGCATAAACCTTAACGCACTTTCAACCTGGCAGACTCGTTCTGATGATGTCAGTTTCATTTCTGTCACTCTTTCTATACTTTGCACACCATGTAAGTGCTTGCATGCATGGCTATACCTCTTTCTTGTTTAGCTGTGTTTTCTAATTGCATGCATATTATTTTCATTATTTTCCTTTATTTTTATAACAATACGTAATGCGTTATCTACAATTTCTATCATTTTCCTGAATATGTAGCATTTTCTAATACCATTCTTTCTCTTTATATAGAATAACCACTTCTATTTTGCATGTAGTCCTACAGTAGCTGTTGTAGACAGCCAGAACAAACAGTAGACATGGTAGATGATGCAATCCATAGGTTACAGAGGGAGCTAACAACAGCCACAGAGGTACTGGCTCATCCTTACTGATGAGAGGGGATACAGACACACGCATGATACATTGCACGATTTCAATTGTGTATTATTTGTCCCTAAATTATAATTATTTTTAATGATTAAACACCTTTTCATAAACGTCCTTGTTGCACCACAAATTGTCGTCCCTACACAAATTGTCGTCGGCGACAATTTGTGCAAAATTTGGCAAAACCTCACACCACAAATTGTCGCCTCCTGCATTTAACTGAAGGCGTTACAGGTAATGTCATGATAACGATAAAAATAAGACTGAATGGTAGAAAGGTTGGATATTCTAAGTTTTACTACAGCTTGAAAGTGAAGAGACTTATTATTCATAGTTCGATGAGATTTAAAGAGTAGGATGCTCTCATATCTACCCCTTCATATGAGTGCTTATACATAAATTAATCAAGCTTTAAAAAATTATGATAATGCTCAGCATGATATCAATTGCACTCAAGTGATTTTATCGGGTTACGTTTACTGGGCAGTAAAGCATATTTCTGAGGCCCACATATAAGATTAGGCATTGATTTAGAGGCCAATTAATTATTCACACATTCACTACATGTTGCCACGCAGTTATAGCATCATAGCAACGTGTTTCCTGGGCAACAGGTTCGACGTCTGACCAGTTTAAGTCTGTGCATTGTAGCGGAACTGCCTGTAATAGCTGTGCATATTGCAAAGATCCCAGTGAGTTATTACAGTTTTGTTTCAGCCTTGCAGGTTATTTACTGTCATTGCTATTTAGGATTGCTCTTGCTGGGCCTTAATTACGAATGAAACATTCGCGTTGTTGTTGTATTTTTACAGTCATTACGAGCCATGATATCGTACCACTTAGCAGTTAATATGCCATTCAATAACCGCTAACTGTCAAATGAAATGAAATAATAATTGGCTCATTGTTTGTTTACAGATTTATTCAACTGACCATACGACCAGCAACTTCCCATCAAATCCTTCCACACCGGTCAGTAGTCCACCACCAATGTCAGGTAAGTTGTTTACAGTGTTTTTATTTTTGTTCGTATTCAGATGTCATGTTTTAACGTCTACACGTTGTTGACACACAACTTGGCATATTAGCTATATTTCATAATTAGGGGAAATTACATTTTATTTAAGTTATTATGGTTGTTGTATAGATAGGACTAAATTCTGAGAATATATTTTAAATTGTAGGGAGATGTGTATTTACATGTTTATTCCATGCTTGTTATCTAAACATCCACGTTTGTGTAACTATAAAACGTATTAACTATATGTAGGCATATGTATTATAGCTATATGGATTATAGATTCATTATGGTGGTGTATCTATGCAGCACAGATATGTTTCGATGTTGTGAAATTTTAATAAATATTATTCTCATATGTTGTGCTTTTGTTGTCCATGAACCAGGTTCAAGTTGGCCAACGCGACCACCAGCACCCACATCTCCACATTATGGCGAAAGTCATCTGCATTCACTTGTGAGTTAGTGCTGAATTCAGCATCTTTTCCTATTTACTATCACCATTTGCATGAGCAGTTAAGTGCATACCTCGAGTGTGCATAAACCTTAACGCACTTTCAACCTGGCAGACTCGTTCTGATGATGTCAGTTTCATTTCTGTCACTCTTTCTATACTTTGCACACCATGTAAGTGCTTGCATGCATGGCTATACCTCTTTCTTGTTTAGCTGTGTTTACTAATTGCATGCATATTATTTTCATTATTTTCCTTTATTTTTATAACAATACGTAATGCGTTATCTACAATTTCTATCATTTTCCTGAATATGTAGCATTTTCTAACACCATTCTTTCTCTTTATATAGAATAACTACTTCTATTTTGCATGTAGTCCTACAGTAGCTGTTGTAGACAGCCAGAACAAACAGTAGACATGGTAGATGATGCAATCCATAGGTTACAGAGGGAGCTAACAACAGCCACAGAGGTACTGGCTCATCCTTACTGATGAGAGGGGATACAGACACACGCATGATACATTGCACGATTTCAATTGTGTATTATTTGTCCCTAAATTATAATTATTTTTAATGATTAAACACCTTTTCATAAACGTCCTTGTTGCACCACAAATTGTCGTCCCTACACAAATTGTCGTCGGCGACAATTTGTGCAAAATTTGGCAAAACCTCACACCACAAATTGTCGCCTCCTGCATAAATTTTCGTCGGCGACAATTTTTGCTGCTCTTGCCGTTCCCAATTTTTAATCTCACTGGCGACAATTTGTGCAGGCAAAATGAAACCTAACTGCACAAATTGTCATTGCTTGCACAAATTGTCGTCAGTCGCTGTCTTCAAGCTACAGAAGATAATGATGATTACAAAGATGATGATGATGATGATGATGATGATGATGATGATGATGATGATGATAATGATGATGATAATAATCAGTGTTGGGGGACTCGAGGCCGGCCTCGGCGTCCATACATACATACATACATACATACACGCACGCACACACACACACACACACCTCCACACACACCCTCCATACACACCCACGTGCCACGTGTGCACACACACACACACACACACACACACATGGCTTTGAACAGGATCGTATAATGTGCTTCAATGGCTGGTGACAATTTGTGGTGTCAGCTCCTTCACAAATTGTCGTCGGCGCCGACGACAATTTGTGCAGGAGGCGACAATTTGTGGTGTGAGGCTTTGCAAAATTTTGCACAAATTGTTGCCGCCGACAATTTACGGCGACAATTTGTGCAGGGACGACAATTTGTGGTGCAACCATCCTTCTTCTTATTGACTAATCAGCTTGTATGATAAAATGAAGGATTTGATTTTTGAAACTCTTTTAATGATTTACTTCCCTACAGAAACACTACTGCTTGATATTCATGTAAATTATGTATTCAAGTAAAACTAGTATGTTAGAGTAGAAGATAACTTGGTGATCATAATACTGAAATTATGTACTCAGTGGTTTATGTAATTGGGATGTTGGATTTCATGTACTTAAAAGCACTTGTTGTAGCTCTTATCCCAGATGGTCATGATGATGTGCGTAGCCACTCATACCTCCCTGGTTCTGGTTCAAATAGTGTTTCTTCCCCCTTGCAGCAGAGTCGTATGGAGGAAAGGTTGGACGATGCCATCCACGTTCTACGGAACCATGCTGAGGGGGCGCCACTATCCCTTCCTCCAGGTCACCTACCGGGCATGCCGATCATGCACACTGCACATTCCAATGGAATCATGGGAAACATGGGTGGCGGTCCAGGGTATCTGTCGGGCGTGCCGTCGGCAACGTTAATAGATTCTCACATGGTAAGTGTGGGTCATTTGGAAAGAGTAGCAAACAAGTGCATGGAGTGATTACCATCATTCTCGTGTAGAATACTCCATATAGATCCCAATGCATGCTCTCGTTTTCAAACTGAAAAGTCTGATATTGGAGACGGATGTGAATTCATACTAAGTATACTAGTGGGCTAACCCGAATATTAAGACTTTTTTCATTCATTTTTAAATATGTGAAAATGAGCATGCGTTCTTGCATTCTAAGTGTGAATATAAATTTCTGATGCAACTTCATTGCCATATGTTTTATATCGGTCACATTTTCATCTATATTGGAATGGTTTTGGCCTTGTTTTGATTATGCACAGCTGGTGAAACGGCAGTATCTTGTTCAAAAGTTCAAAATGTTTTATATTTCACCATATAGCTTGGACAAAAGAACTTGGTTGGGGTTAGTGCAGAAGGTGGAAGGATATAAGTTGGTAATAATAAGCCCACCATTCATAAGCCAACATTTTCGAAGTGAATCTTGGAAGGTATCGGAAGGACAGATATGTCTTGCATGCGCAGTGCACTTGTGCAGAGTGAGCCAAAACACTGGATGAGCCCACTTGCTTGCATGCATTCTTTATGAGTTCATTTTCATGAGTGTTAACTCAAGCAGTTGGTGCCATGCCAAAAAGTGGACACTGGTTAGAAAGAAGAATGAAAATATATATGATTTTGAGGTATACATGTGGATTTGGCAGAATGCTAGGCAGAACTGAAAACCGTAATGTTGCTATCGTTTCCATCCTAATTAGTTTGCTACTGTCGTAGCTTGTTTCAAATCTTATAATTCAATATTGAGTACATCGCGTTTCTATTTATAGCAGGCTGTAGCATTAGCCTAACATTAGCCTAACTTGAGGGAAACATCAATAAATAACTGTAACCATCCTATGCAAATCGCTGCATGTATAAATGCAACATTGGGTGGCACGTTAAAGAAAAGTTTATCTTAAGTGTTGGGTGCATTTAGTGAATAGCAAGACGGTGCCCACAAGCGAGCAGCAATTATGCTGCTACTGTTAACGACAGTCATCAAAGATTTCTCTATCAGTCTTGGCAAGACAGTCAAAGTCACACTACTAGATATGTGTTCGTAATTGAGGCTGCATCTGGAATTTGTTAAACCTGTAGAACCCAACACTTATCACAGATCTGGTAGATTTCTGTACAGTTGATAATTAGAACCATCTGAATCGACTGCACCAGTCTTTGGTGTATACCCCTCTGTAGATGTGAGATGGTAGTCTTTTGCCGATTCTAGGCACTCCTATACGGCCTCAATACACAATGTACTCCTTCTATCCTTCGACCAGTAGTGTCTTCAAGAAAACGTGTTTGTTTTGTTGTCACCTGTGTCATTTATTCTACACATTGCTTTCGATGTTCAATTCATAGAATTTTCTCTGTACATTTGGAAGTGTGTTATTTAATCTGTGACGATTTCGGGTAATACATACACGTGATTGGCAGCCACTGTGACAGCGGTCGCTATCCTTCACAAGATCGTGCGTAATGAATGACCCATATATTTAAAAAAATGTAGTTATAATAATTATAATTACAGACGAAACGTAACCATGCCGACTGTATCACGCGGTAGACCACACCCCGTGTCCTCTCGTTGCACCTTACACCTGCGTTGGTAGCGGCAAGTCTGGACATTATCAGCAATCAATAATGCCCTCGGCATCCCCCTAGTGTAGCGCTACTGCGAGCGTATAGGCGATGGTCCCTTGAATACGGCGCCCGCGGCGAATCTGGTTCCAGTTAGATCCCTAGCGTTGTGTTTCAGCTGAACATCTTTGCCGATTTCTGGCCAATCGCAGGCGCCGAAAATCACTGTGAAAGCGGCGGGAAGCTTTCTCAGTTGTGATGTAGGCCCCGTGTCTAGTCATCGGTTGGTGGGAACGTTTTTGCTCAAATAAACATTTACCCGTGACTCCCTGCTTCCCTGCCGCCGCCCCCCCCTCCTGGGAACGCCGCTAGGTGGCAGGTTCTTCGTTATTGAGGCATCTTCGTGTGACTTCGGTGTGAGGGAGTCAGTGTTTGCGATTGTCTTAACGTTGTGCGCTCGTGTTCCCAGGTGGGCCAATATAGGCGCATATAAGTCTGGGGACATTTATCTGGGCCACAATACTTGTGGGTTTCTACCCTCGGCTGCCTATTCCACCCTGATGTTATACTGGGGAGTGTTAGACGATAAAAAAAACGTGATCAGTATGATCAGCAGCACCGTGATTACACATCATCAGGTTGATTGATAGCAGCAGTGCTGTGGTGGATGCCGACGGGTCGATGTGTCTACGTTTGCCTTGCCAGATTAGCAGTCTGGGCGGTATGCGGTTAATTACCTGCTAGAGATGACAGTGCCTGTGCGGGATTCCAAAGTTGTCAAAGTTTCTAGCTCACTGTCCATGTAGGTAGAGGCACACTGTGAGGTGAAAAGCTGTCTCATCAGTTCTCCCCACCCCTACTAACTATGTGGCTTGAGGTTTCGTAGCCCAGTAGTTGTGTAATACTGATTAATGACACATGTGTGGAGTCTTTGCACAGTTTCAGGAGTGGGCGACTATCGGATGTGGGAGTGCACTGGGTGAAGCTATCCCCCTTGGGTCTCGAAAGCAGGCAGAGCGGTATTCATGTGAGGTTGGAAAGTCGGGAGGTTTAAATGAAAACAGGTTGGATAATTGTTTCATGCTGGCAGGCTTGTTTTGGCATGGGTATCAGTGTGTTAACTGTGCTGAGCCCTGTTTGTATTAGCACACAGCTACTTCAGGCGCGCTTCTTGTGTGGATCGGCTGCTGCGGCTGCTGCTGCGTCACAGCTAGCTGACTATCACCTATCTGATCTATCTGTCATGCACGACCTTGCGTAATCTCTCTCTGTGATAAACAGTGCCTGCTTCTTTTCTCACAGTCACCGTCGTCATCGTGCGGGAAGATATCATTACCAGAAATTATTCATCAGTGGATCGCACGGACATGCGAAATAGCTGCACTGTTCGCAGCGTGCGTGCGTGGGGCGCGCGTGTATTCGTTTACTCCGCTCTCTGTGGTTAATGGTCTAGCAACAACCAGTAAGGGTTCTACATGGACGTTGGAGTATCAGTGCGTGGATATTGCTGCGAGAGGATAACTGTCGACGCGAGCTCGTGATTGGTGACGATGTGGTACCCGGCCGACAATAACTGGTCCAGCGTTTCTTATCCCAGTCAGTACCCTGCCTACAATGGCAACGGATATGGCGGTGCGCTACCCTATCCTCAGCCGTCCATGTACTGGGTGAGTGGCAAGCCGGCCGACGATGTGCGCGCGCCGCTCTTGTTATGCGTATGGTGGCGAGCGTAACTTACCAGCTGCAGTGAAGTTTGTGGGGCTTCATATCTTGTCAGCTTCACTTGGATGAGGAGCGTCTGCGATTCCAGCCTAGAGGGAAATTCGTGTGTGATGCCATTGTGTCCGAATCTAGCTCTAGAACTATAGCCTTTCAGTCTGCCACATGCGGCAGAGTGAAGGGCTATGCCTATAGTTCTAGAGCCAGTCCGAATCTAGACGAATGGTTGAGTTAAGACTGAGCGTAATTCGCGGGCAGCAATAAATTCTTGTAGTGATGGGTTTATATGCGCTGCAGGTGCGTTTTGATGGGTGCATGTCTTAGAATGAGAGGATTTCACCCAGTAGGTGTTAAACCTGTCGTAATAAAGTACAGAAAACGCCGTCTAGTTGTAGGGTTGCCAAAGTATAAGTGATAAAATACGATATGAAATATACGGAGTGAAAGAGAGAGAGAAGGAGAGCGTGGGTGGTGTGAACTATAATATAGCTTCCTATAGCTGGCAGGAATGAGTAACCTACTTCTGATTCTATTTAGTTCAGGTACCCGTTCTGTGATTGTATTGATCACTGTGTGGACTGAAATACAGTTGTAAGACACCTGGGAGTGATAGCGCATGCGATGTTTGCAACGCCGGGAAGAACACACCGCAGGTTGCATTCGCGTGTATTTCACAAACAAACAAAATCGCTCCACCAATTACTAATCTCGTTGGTTTCTCTTGTTAATTTCTGCTTACCAGTGTAAATGCTACCAGCTGTACACAGAGACCTTTTTCGACGCTGTCTAAACTTTTCGCAGCCGATCTGTACATTGATAGGGAAACTGCCCACATGTGCTAGCAATAGAGCGTGACCCTCTCAAAAAGCCGTCGGCCTGTACTAGATGCAAAAATTTTCTGCTGGCCTGACAGTGGTAACGAAGTACATATGTTGTAGAGGGGGCGGTGCCAAGATGCCTGCGAGTGTGTAGAAAGAAAATCCTGCCCAAGCTTCGCCTCAGAGAAGCTGATTCGGCATTGTTATTTCAAGTATTCTATTCATAGACCTAATCAGCTTGTTGATATTTTGCGTATATTGGTTACTTTATTGCGTGGCTGATTTATTAGTATATAGCAGGTAGCCAGTACTGTGCCTGCTTGATTGATTAGCAGGAGCCATTGAGGCGTGCGTCAGTTTCTTGTTACTCGGCATCAAAATTGAAAATGTAACTTGTGAAACATCGTGGTAAAGAAAGTTAGATTTGGTTAGGCTGTATATAGCCCGACCAGACTGGGAAACAAACCTAAATACTCTGGTATTTCGTTGTGGGACTGTTTCTTGGAGCTAGGCTGTATAATATAGCAAAAGCCAGAGAGTTCTACCTCATCCGCTTGGGTACAGCAGTAGCTGCTAATACAAAACAGATGTTGCAGTTTACTCCATGGATTTGACCAGCTAAGCAACAGCGTTTATAGCAAACTTAGGTGGTTGCGCACATTATATCAAGACAAGTATATGGTCGCATACCACCTTTGTTGCTGGGCGCGAAATTTTTTTTCCCGTTTATGCACTTCAAAGACTGCACCGTGGATGATCACTAGGATATTAATCTGTTTGAAAATATCTTTAGTGTGTATCCTAGGATTCAGCCCATGACTAGTGCTGCATTTAATGTGTGTGTTAACACCGTTTGATATGGATACTCACCAGAAAAAATTCTATTTTGCAGGCTAGTCCACATACATTTCATGATGACCACCTGAAGAAACACATTGCTTCAGACCCTCTAAGCCCAGGTGCGAAAATCTTTTTATTAACAATGTGTATTTGGTAAGGAATTGAATTACTCAATAATTCCGGCAATGTGAAGGTTTTGCCCGGGAGTATTTTCCATGTCCCTAGTCTTAATGGTATTATTGTGGATGTTTAACTGGCACAATTTGCTATGCCCCAGAGCCTAATAATGATCATATCGTGGTTGTTTTACTGGGGACTGTCTGCCACATCCACAGAACATAGTAATGATATTACTGTGTGAGTTATAACTGGCACAATTTGCCACATCTCCAGGAACTATTAATGATGCAAATATGAGCATTATAACTGACACTATTTGCCATGTTTCCATGACCTAGGTTATGGTGCTCCTTTTGCTGTTTTACCAGAGCATGTCCTGCAGGCATGTCCTGCAGGCATGTCCTCAGGTCTGAGTAGTAATGTGAATGTGAGTGTTTTAACTGGATCAATCTGGCATGCCTACAGATCTGAGTAAGGAGTGTGATGATGATGATAGTGACACAGACGGACCTGCCCTGAAAGCGGAGAAGATCGACACCAAGTTAAACTCAGATATGCTCCTTGAATCGACGAAAAATGAAGCAACGTCCACGTCAGCACCAGCCGGATCAACCACATCGTCGAAAAAGCGATCAAGAAGGTTTGTTATGCTACTCGCTTATCTTTGCTTGCTTTCTTACATGCTGAGCTACCAACACCTAAAAACACCATTAGATGTGATAGATAGCTGGATATGTACATTGTATGTGCAGTGGTGATCATATATTAAATACTGTATCATTTATAAATGTTTATAATATTATTACAATTGAATTAGACTTATTTAATCCAGTATAATTTCATAGCCTTAATAGCCTTATTAATCCATTTATATTAATTCAGAACACTTATTTCAAGAATGTGTGATTACATGCATTTTAATTTATGTCTTACAATTATACAGGATGCAAAGTATTCGGCAATTATTTACTGCTGTTCAATCATGTGTCCTGGGCTGTGAGGGAGGGGGAAGGAGAGAATGAGAGAAATGGAAGAACTTTTAATGATCCACATTGACATCCTTTCTGTAGCAGTGCAGAAGCAATCTATTCAAAAAAGCAAGAGAGAAAGAGAGAGAGAGAGAGAGAGAGAGCGAGCGAGCGAGCAAGCTTTTAAGTTATTAGCTTTTTTATCATTGTAGCAGCAATCCGGAAGATGATGATCCACCAGTTATAAAACATGAGCGTGAGAAAGAGAGGCGACATGCGAACAACGCTCGCGAAAGGTATGCCAGAAGCCGAGAAACATCTTGTTTTTTTGCGTGATTATTTAGTTCTCACTATTTATCTTTGATAACAAATTCTCATACACTTTACTCATCCAATACCTATCACTGGGAGAAAAAATGCTGCTGATTGTTCATTTCATTTACTGATTGGATCTCGGTGTTTTTATGCCAGAAAGACGTGACATACTATGACGATATCACTATGCCGATCACTAGTAATGTGAGTCGTTTTTACACCCGTAGAGTACGAGTGCGAGACATAAATTCCGCATTCAAAGAGTTGGGCAGAATGGTGCAGATGCACCTGGCAGAGGACAAACCACAAACGAAGCTCGGCATACTACACCAAGCGGTCAGCATCATCACCAACCTGGAGCAGAAAGTGAGAGGTGAGTCGCAATATCGTGATAGATGCATCGCAGGCTGCACAGCTTCAGGAGGTGACATCTGATGAGCAGCGGGGTGGTAAACGTGATGTGATAGGTCTGTAGGTGTGATGTGAATGCGATGGAATCGCAGTGTGTTATCATAACGAGCTCATCAGCAGCTGCAGCAGTACTGTAGAAATCAGTAGCATTCACTTGCTGTGTAATATTTTTACATATCATTGGCCTAACTTTAGCATGATAGGCACCCGTCTTTTTATATATGTTAATTATGAGTGATACATACTGTCTTAAAGTTATGATTGGCCTTGTTTAAAATGAACATTGATCAATTTTATACATATTTTGAAAGTAGTTTGCAGTGTGTTCATTGTCCATCTTGCTTATGATATACTGGAATAGAATGATAACATGGTTGGTTCACGGATATATATATATATAATCCATTTCAGAGCGGAATCTGAATCCCAAGGCAGCATGCTTGAAACGGAGAGAGGAGGAGAAGACTGTAGAGGATCACACAAAGTCTTTGGGGCCACCTAATGTCAATCCACTGGATGCCTTGCAGCCACAGCCATCACATATACAGGTCAGTTTCGATCAGTAACTCCATCTGTAGTTGTATTACTGTGTTGGGTGTGGCTAACTGGCAACAGCGTTTTGCTCCCGAACGAGCCACCCGAAGATACAGATGTAAACGAAATAGTTTCACTGCTGGTTACCTGCCAGGCAGGTGATTTCTTGCATGTATGTACAGCTGGTTTCATGCACTAACTTTGCAGAGGTTGACATGGAATTAGCATGGTTATTACTTGTGCTGCGCATATTGCGAGCATGCAGCAGTTGCATCTGAAGCAGATGAAGTATTTTTTGCATAACTGGTTCCTTTGGCATTTTTAGCAATATTGCTCATGTTTTTGTTGTTGTTGTTCGTGTTGTTATTTAATTTTAAGTCATGGAACATTACTTTTGTATTCAGTGCCCTTACTTACTTGCATGGGTTAAAATGGATTACGTTGCTTTAGTCGTGCATTGACAATTTATCCTTTAGAACCTTTTCTAATCATATAATAATAATTGTTATACTAAAAAGTAAAGAACTAACATACCCTAACTAATTGTTTGATAACCTCGCAAGGTGGGGACACAGGGTAACCTTAGTGGGATGGTATTGAAATGCACTGGATGTCAAACTATATCCTGGAGAACGTCGCTTGTGGAGGTACAGGTGATTGTAAGATCACAGTGTGACCTACCAGGCATTAGATGCTTATTAGGGTTTGTGTTCATTTTACAGGCTTATGATTACGATGATGGCAATGATGGTGAATATGATGTATTCATGGAATGACGGCCACCAGGTTAGGGCTACTGAATTATACTCATTCAAAAGTAGGTGTACAGCGATAGGATGTCACAATAGGCCCTGTGTCCCAACTATTGCATGTGTTTACTAGCTTGTACACTAGAGCTGTTTGTTCGTGCGTATGTGTGTGCATGTATCTGTGTGTGTCTACGTTCATATGCACATTTGTGCACATGTAGGTTCTTCTGTATTCCACAATTTAGAGTTTTTGATGACGCTGCAAGAATATATTTTATAATATCGTGTGGGGTTGTTTCGAGATTCAAAACAATACAAGCAAAATTGTCTTGCTACAAGTTAGTCACTGTTGTTGTAGTATTGTAGTGATAGATGGTTGTTTTATGTTGTCAAAATCTATGATCAGTTCTTACTATATTTGAAAATGTAAATTTTGAATTATTGGTGTATATTTAGTTTTGCATAGCAAGACACTAGCTTGTGTGCAAACATATGCATTGGTCTGCTGGACATGTGGGGTTAGTCAGAATTTATTCTGCTACCTGACTCGTGTCTTGTGGCCCTAGAAGTACCACATTTTGATTGTTGTTATGCGGTTTTAGTTACATAATTATCAAGCATAAAATGAGATATTGCAGGATTCCTCGGTAGATAAGTATCCAACATAGCCTCGTAGGTTGCTGTTCTATAGACGTTCATACAGCAACCAACTGCCAAGAGTCGTCATTGCATGTCCCACAAACCAACCTAACTGTATTTTTTGTTTGTTTCAGCAAATGCCTCCACACTCGACCATGCTTCACCAGCATCCGCCACTGCACATGAACTGATGAATTTGGGGGCCCGGAGACTGGTGCGGCCACATGTGGTACCAGCTACCAGGGCCTGTGTGAACAAAGCCTCACAAACTGTTGCCAAAACTGTGCTCGTTTACTAGCAGAACGCTGGTTGTGTGTTGCCGTGAAGACGAATCTGCTCGTAGACCAGCTCTGAGACGAGTGGCGCATAGCCGATAATCAATTGTGAAATCGTAGTGTAAACTGACCAAGTTATGTTGATGTTTTCGCATGCGTGCGCACGTGCATGCATGCGTGCGTGCGCACGTGCATGCATGCGTGCGTGCGTGCATACGTGCACGTGTGAGAATGTCTGTAGGCGTGGTGGTTTGCTGCCATGCACTGTACAAATATTGTCTACTGGATACTACACTTTATGCATAATGCATTTGTTCCTGTGGCAGGATACCAAAGAGTTACTTCCCAAAAACAACAACGTAGTGCGTGCATCTTAAAATTTACCATGACTTTTTCGTACTTAATTTGTTTCAAAAGTGTTGCAGACTAGTCTCCTCTTAATTCCTATATAAACCATTATAACGGCGATTATGTGTATAACGGCTGTCCCATCCTACTTATTATTTGGTTCGTGGACAGCTATGTTGTGAACTCTGTTGTGCTTGATGAAACAGTCGTGGAAAGTTGAGAGTAAAATTGTAAGAGCAGAAACTGTTTTCACCTATTGTGAGGAAACCTGTGTATAATTATGTAAGAAAGGTTATATCCATATGGTATAGCCCTCTAGTGGGAGAACGCGCAGTTTAAAGGTAGCAGAAGTTGGGAAAGTCTACTATTGTTAAATTTTTTAGTTTTTTAACGTAAATGTCCAGAGGTGGAAGAAAATCTTCAATCATGTCATTCAGATGATTCTACTTGTAAGGTAATTTAATACGTCCGTTTGACCTTATTGAATATGTGAATTGGTGTAGAAATGAGATGTTGGCATATATTATAGGATAATGTTGATCATGGTTGAACTTTTGATTGTATACGTTTCACAGTTTCTTCATGTTTTCAGCTGGTCAAACTAAGGTGAAAGCTACTGCGTAAGGATGAGGTGAAATGGAGATGCTGCCAGGTTATAGATGATAGATACTGACTTGGTTTCCATTTTGTTCTGTTTGGGAACTGTTTATTGGTTGTCTCCTAAGATGTACCCTTGTACAAATCGATCATAATGTTGTGTTCACCTTGGACAGGTTTACTTGTCAACCTGGACAGGTAGTGTAGATTTATAAATGTTGCCAGATGCGTGAACATTGAGACTGGTATCATACGTAGCGGACTTACATTAATGACCACTGTGTTCTGTTCGAATTTATATTATGTTGGCTCAGAACATGGGAAGCAGTAATTCAGCAAGGGAGATTTCTTCACTGGTAAACGATGAATCGTATTTTGTTGTACGCTGTTAATCACCTATCGTTTAAACACTCGGTAACAATGCCTGTATTTCATTTGTTCTATAATCGGACTATGAGCGGAAGCGATTTGCAAAACCCAGATCTGATCAGCTTTGTGCATGAGTTGTAGAATTCGATTGAGAAAGTTTATAAAGTCAATTTTTTTATTTTATGATGCAACAGCAGAGAAAAGTATGTAGGTTGTAGACATTTATGATTATCTCAGTATTTTATTTTAATGCGTCGATATGATATTGTAGATACTAATATTGATTAGGTGGAAGGCTGTTGCGGTCAGTGCCCAGGGAGCGAGCGCCCTCTATAGGCGATGTTCCCACTTAGTTTTACTCTGCTCTCGGCGGGCCTATATGATATTTACTTGTTTGCAGAGAAGAGTAAATTCGTGAAAGTAATCTTCAACTGGCAAATTGAGTTTACGTGAAGCAGAATAAAGGTTATGTCAGATTGATTGGTAATGGAAGAGCATTGCCTCGGGCGCGGTCATGGTTGGCCTAACAGCTTCCGTGTACTGTCGAGGCCTCACCTCTCCTAGTGACAACCCAATGATCACTCTGCATAAGTAGCTGCATGCTTTAGTTGTTTGCCTGTTATTTTGAATCATTCATCTTGTATCAAGTGAATTCCATCTCTGTTTTATATATGAAATTATATATATTTTATGATGAGAGACCTTTTCATTAAATCCTATTGATCCAGTGTGCCAGGCCACTGTGTTTTATACATACATATCCCCTATCCTCTGCGCTTAAATCGCGAGCGTGGACTTCTGGACATACTTAGGTTGTAGCACTGCTGTAATGTTGCAACAGCGTGATTACACGTCGGATTGGCTGTAGTTATTGGTAAGAATTCATCAAACTCTCTTGTGTTTCTAAGAGAGCACCAGTCGCATGCTTGTACCGAAACCTTTTACACACTGCGACTAAGAACTGAATGTTGACTTGCGAAGTTCTTCATAACTTTGCTATTTTGCACAATTGTTAGCAGTTGGGTCGTAATCATGTTGGGGGGNTTAAGGTGTATTTAAACTAAAAGCGAATCGTATACAGAGTTGCCTAGGTACTGTTATAAGTGAGTTGAGTGTGTACAATGTAATTCATGTAAGAACCGACCTATGTATAAAGCACCATGATGTCAGCATACATATCCTCGAGTTGTGGTCAGCCAGCTCCTAGGGCCAGCTTGTGTATCGTTATGCTCAAAATTTGCAAGTCATTACAGTGTGTTTTTGGTCAGATCATAAATGGCCTCCGGTATCTCTGTATCTCTACTCGTTTAGCTGAATGCTATATATTCAGTGCGGTGTTCTGTCGTCTTACGTCGCTGAGGGCTGAATGGCTGACAGTATCATGAAATCTCCAGTAGCATATTTTCCTACAACAGTAGTATTCTGCTGTTATGATAGCGCAAAGTTGTACATAGCTTTCATGTAGAACATTAATGTCTTTTTCAGTAAAATGACCTGTTTTGCGTTTGTTTTGTCGTTGCCAATAGCGGTCGCATATCACGTCATACATTGCGTACATACAGAGTTGACAC